CCCTCTCCATGCGTGTCTCCTACTTCTTTAGCTATTTTAAGATCTAGGTTGTGGTACTTTATGGCTTTTTTGAAATCACCCAGACGATCATAAGCATTGCCAAGATGGCCAAGAGCACAACCCTCCCCATGCTTGTCTCCTACTAATTTTAATAATCATTTTTTTGAAATCACCCAAGATTTGCCAAGATTGCCATTAGCAACACCCTCCCCATGCTTGTCTCCTACTTCTTTAGCTATTTTAAGATCTAGGTTGTGGTACTCTATGGCTTTTTTCAAATCACCCAGACTGTCATAAGCATTGCCAAGATTGCCATAAGCACCACCCTCCCCATGCTTGTCTCCTACTTCTTTAGCTATTTTAAGATCTAGGTTGTGGTACTCTATGGCTTTTTTTAAATCACCCAGACGGCGATAAGCATTGCCAAGATTGCCATAAGCACCACCCTCCCCATGCTTGTCTCCTACTTCTTTAGCTATTTTAAGATGTAGGTTGTGGTACTCTATGGCTTTTTTCAAATCACCTAGACTGTCATAAGCATTGCCAAGATTGCCATAAGCACCACCCTCCCCATGCTTGTCTCCTACTTCTTTAGCTATTTTAAGATGTAGGTTGTGGTACTCTATGGCTTTTTTTAAATCACCCAGACTAAGATAAGCATTGCCAAGATTGCCATAAGCACCACCCTCCCCATGCTTGTCTCCTACTTCTATAGCTATTGTCTCTTACTTCTTTAGCTATTTTAAGATGTAGGTTGTGGTACTCTATGGTTTTTTTGAAATCACCCAGACTGAAATAAGCATTGCCAAGATTGCCATAAGCACCACCCTCCCCATGCTTGTCTCCTACTTCTTTAGCTATTTTAAGATGTAGGTTGTGGTACTCTATGGCTTTTTTGAAATCACCCAGACGGCGATAAGCATTGCCAAGATTGCCATAAGCACCACCCTCCCCATGCTTGTCTCCTACTTCTTTAGCTATTTTAAGTAGGTTGAGGTACTTTATGGCTTCTTCTCCCCGATTATAGAGGTCTATGACTTTCTTGACATCACCTGAACTTGCACTACCATGGTTATGACTAATAGGATCTTTTTCCTCCATGGACTTTTCTCCCACTTCTCTGACAGACTGAAGTCTTAATGACAACAAGATCCTATTGTTTTTGTCAATCTTTTTTATGTTAAGGGTTAAAAAGGTGGACAAAACGAGAATATTATATTTCTCATTATATTGGTATATGTAATAGTCCATTTTTATAGTTGCATGCTTGGTTGTAAAACCTCTGAACAAGAGTGATGGCTATAAAGGGTGACCTTGTTATGATAAAACATTGCTGCTTTTCAAATGCAAATAAATTTGTTATTATTGTCACTATAGATACTGTTCTCTATCACAACAAGGTCACCTTCAGCCTCACTCCAAATCAAAGGCTTGGCAACTAGGTACACAACTATAAAATGGTCTATTAGGAGGGCTTGTGCGAGAGGTAGATGTTTTATCAACATTCAGTCAGTTATGAAGTAAATCTTCACTAGAAAAAAATTTTTTTCTGTGTGCAGCCTCAAAATTTAACGCAAAATATCTAGATGTAATCTCTTGTTTCCAAAAACTGGGGAGCACCAGTGCTTAATTTTTAAATCAATATAGCTTTAACATCAGACGAATGTTTTACAGCAGTGGAAGAAACAAGTCTACAACACAAATACGTGCCTTTAAAAGTTGTATTTGTCCATAGGAAAACATGATGAAAGTTTCTAGGTCTCTAAGTAGTTGAAAAGGTTAAATTCAAGAAAATCTGCATAGGATATATGTAAACATTACCAAGCTTTTTGTTCTGGCTTGTTTCAGAGAGACCTGATCTACCCACATACTATGTATAAATTGGGTGAATATTTGACTTTTAACCCTTTAACTCCCATGAGTGACCAAGAGAGAATTTCTCCTTACGAGAGTAATACAATATCATCAGATAAGTGTTGAGAGTAAAGAAAAATATCAATTTGGGAATAATAAGTGGATCCAATACTGAATTCTCTGAACTAACATTACAAGAATTGTACAGTTGACAGTAAGGAGAATTACAAATTTGGTCTGTGAATTAAAGGGTTACTAATGTAGCAGTTATTGGCATGGATAGTAGAACTAAGTCAAATTAGCTAAAAGGAGTAATATCATTGATAAGTCACAAGGTAATAACTTTTCCCATGTTTTTCAATCACACACTCTTATAGTATGAGCTGACAAGTTCCCATCATAATTAATACCCTTCTTTGTATTTTCTCCCTTAAAACATCAAATTATGGAAACTTTTTCCATTATACCCATGGTTAAAAATGAAAGATTCCTTCAAAGGATACAGCTAGTCCCTTATCACACCATATGATTGCTTCTTCAAATCTCTTCAATGCAACACAAGCAGTGGTTCCTATGGGCAACAACGTAAAGAGGCATATTATTACTGTATCTCAGTTCTGAAAAAAGAACCTGAAACCATTGAAATCATTACAGACCAGAAGAACAAAACAAAACAAAGAAAAAATACTAAATGGAAAAGAATAAACAGGCCCTATCAGGTTTCAGTTAGATTTATTTAGCTTTTAAGACAACTGAAACTTCTAAGAACATTTAGATTGGGACCGGAAATTCCTTACCTAAAGAGTTAGGTAAGTCCTGATCCTTACTTCTCTTTAAAACAGCTAGATAGTGACTTAACATATCTGACACCTGTGACTACCTCACTCAGTGAGCTTAAGGAACTAAAATACTTGTGCTGAAATTTTGCTTTGCATTCTGCATTGAGTTCTTCATCCAGCTCAAAATAATATTCTCATCATAATTAATGGAAAGTAGTTGCGTAGCAGTCAAGAGTTGGATTCAAATGATTCAAATGTACATCATTGTGGTCTCGACCACTTAATTAAAATCAATTGAGACAAGATTGAACTTCATCTAATCTCTTTTAACCTTAGAGTGTTGAGTTATTCTTTTATTATTATTATTATTATTATTATTATTATTATTATATAGCACAGCTAACATATCTAACCTCTCACAATTGCCTTAAGGAAAGTTGGATTTAACTCAATGGCTGCTTCTGCATCCCTTAGTGAATCCTGGTGATTTCCTGTTATCAAAATAAATATCTCTGATAAGCCATACATGTAGCAAACCAACAACCACTCCATTACAATAATTTTGGGAAAAACTTGCAATGCTCACTGATATCTGGGGTTAAAGAGGTTACTTCTTTGTATATTTGCGAGGCCTATCAAGAAAAGATGTATATTTTTCTGGGCATGCATTAAAAATTATCACCTATCTCAGAAAACTTAACTGATGACAACTCAATAGCTTCAAAAGAAAAAAAAATGCATCTTAAAGCTCTCATCTTACCAAGTTTAAAATGTGCAATAGCTCTGTTGTTGTGCAGTTTGGCCTTCAGTTCTTTCCCAGGTAAAAATATAAGGTGGGATCCCGCCAATCCCACCTGGGATCCCATGTGTGTCCCAGGTGGGATCCCGCCTTTTTCAGGTGGGATCCCGGGTGGGATTATGGAACATCCCGCATGGGATCCCGGGTGGGATTATGGAACATCCCGCATGGGATCCCACCTGGGATTATGGAACATCCCACATGGGATCCCGGGTGGGATTATGGAACATCCCGGGTGGGATTATGGAACATCCCGGGTGGGATTATGGAACATCCCGGGTGGGATTATGGAACATCCCGGGTGGGATTATGGAACATCCCGCATGGGATCCCACCTGGGATTATGGAACATCCCGCATGGGATCCCACCTGGGATTATGGAACATCCCACATGGGATCCCACCTGGGATTATGGAACATCCCGCATGGGATCCCACATGGGATCCTGCCAATTGAAGTTGGGATCCCGCCTTAAATTCCTAATAGCATCCCACCTGGGAAAGCACATCCCGGGCAGGATTAAACCTAGAATCCCACCAATCCGTCTTAGGATCCTGCCTCAAATTTCAGATAGTTTCCCACCTGGGAAATCATATCCCAGGTGGGACTGCATCTGGGATCCTGCCAATCCCAGTTTAGACCCTGCATAAAATTACAGATGGCTTCCCACTTTCAGAAAAATCCTTTGAGGGATCCTGTTTATCACTGGAGACCACAGATTTATGAAATGTACTGGATAGGATATCTTAAAATTAAGAGGATAAAATTTTCTAGGTGAGCTATAGACCCCATCAATCCCATGAGGGTCCAAAACTTTCCAACTAGCTATAGAACATACTGACACCTCCAATGGGATCCCATTGTCTTACCAAGCTATTGATCATAAATGATTCAAACAGTACATGAATACACAGACTATATGTGATAAAGATCTCATAATTTATTTGCAATGAACCAGCATGTGTTTGACTTGTTTCATTAACAAATTTCTTAACCGAACATTCTTAAAGAATAACAGCAAAACTCAGCATATTACTTTTTCTTCATCATTTAAGCAGACCATCTACAGTGTAATAAGGCTCAACGTTTAAAAAAACTGGCTGTTGTGTATCAAAGAATAAAAGAAAGACAAAACCTCAATAATTCATGTTATCAAAATTTTGACAAAGGTACTGATTGAAAGTCTGCTCTCTCTTCAGTCGAATTTTTCAAAGCAAAGCAAGGTCAGAATGTTCCCAAATGTGACTAAAGTAATCTTGAAACCTTACTCATAGATTTATTTCATTGTAAAGTGTAAGCTGAGGAAACTGCAGTATGCAAGCGACCAATTCGATTCTCAGAATTATTTGAGTTTCAGTTGCGCTGAGTGTTAGGTAAGATTAATTCAAGCCGTTATTTCTATTCTTTGATAAGATTTTGATCACGTAACGAATATGGCAATTTGTACTCACCACAAACTTCTAAAAATCCTAGCTTTAAATGGCCACTCGATCGTTGTTTGAACCAGTCGATATGTCAACTGTTAATTGTCCCTTCTTTTAAGTTCACGGCGCCAACGACTTTCTTTTCATTTAAAACACTCACGCTGTTCTCGTTTTCCCATTAAACCACAATAAAACCAATCTTTAGAAGTGTTATATTAGGCAAAACAGTTGGGAAAAGAAACAACTTGAAGCAAGAGCGGTTAACCGATGAAAAGTACATTCAAAGATGAGCGCCAAATAGAGTTTTCTTTGTTTCCGATTACGGGCATGATCACGTGGACCTTTTAGCAAAGAGAATCCGCTGGCTTGACCCATTGCAGTCTCAAGAGAAGCGCGCAACATTATTCTGTCTCTTATCTGACCGGTTCTCCTCTCTTAGATGGTGGATACCTTGGATTCATGTTTTGATGATGACATAAATAATGATGTGAATTCACTCTATGTAGAAATAATCGACAAGAATCGAACAAGAATGCACGATTTGTGGCCGAAAGTTTTCGAGGAAAGAAAGACTCGAAACCCACTTGAGTTATGTTCACGGCGAAGGTGAGAAACAACACAAGCCAATAACATTAGGAAGTATAAGAGATACCTAGATGATCACAGTGTACCAGTACCCAAATCAACAAGGCTTGACCACAACAAGCGTTCAGCAACACGTTTCAACACAGTTAGCCATCTCGATTCCTCAGTCGGTCTTTCCAGTGAACTAGCAGTGGTGCCAACAGAGTCAAGTGCGTCTCATAACGGAGAAAACATTTGCACGAGAGACAGAAGCAACTACATGCGATTACAGAGGTGCATTGGAATTCTCGTCTGCAAATGGTTATGCACAGTCCGAAGCGTTACCGAGCTTGGAAAGGGGTGGAGAGAACGAAGATACAAGGTTGTCCTTTTATACTACATGTACAATTTTATACCAGACCTACAAGGTATAGAAAAATTTTGTTGATCTCTGACACAGAGAAGAACAACAAGTAAACTTTAGAGCTGTTATTATTGAACTGTGAATTGTACTTTTCATTTGTATGTAAAGAAGGAATTGTATTTTGCACCAAAAATATAAAGAAGTAATATTTTTTAGGAGGTCCAGTGATTGGGACATTTAAGAAATTAAGTTATGAAAAGAAACTCGGTTTGTACTTCTCACTACTAACAAGTCTTGTTTTAAAAATATTTTCAGATCAGAGTTTCAAATAAAGCAAATTGAAGAAGTCATTTAAAAGGTGTATTTTCTCAAAGGGAACAGTGACCACCTCTGTCTTATCTGCATGCCAAATATTTGCGGAGTGTGTGGATGATCCATAAGTATTGGAACTCTCACAAAAACGTTTTGTAAGAATAAAAACAGCAAAACAATATTTTCGTAGCTGGGATAAAGAATCCCAGGTGGGATATGTAAATCCCGACCAGGATCCCGGGTAGAATGCATAAGTCCCACCTAGGATCCCGGGTGGGATGCAGGAATCCCGCATTAAATGCGGGATCCCAGGTGGGATCAAATTTTCATCCCAGGTGGGAAAGGTGGGATCCCACCACCTAAGGCGGGATCCCGCCATTCCCACCTGGGATCCTGGGTGGGATTGCCGGGATCCCGCCTATATCCCGCCTGACATTTTACCTGGGTTCTCATTGCAGTTCATTTTAATTCCTTTGGTGTAAAAATGAATAGCATTGATGAAATCTCCTTTCCTGAAGGCCTCATTACCCTGATTCCTATAAACATCAGGTGTGGCTGCAGAGAAAAAATAAAAAATAATTTGTATCAAAGTCTGTGTTGTAGTCAATAATTATCTGTGGCTGTAGTTAATTAGTGTATGAGCAGAGCTGCCAAGATCTGGAGATTTAAAATCTGAAGATTTTTCCTTTGGTGCCAGCTGCCACTTTTGCACCTGCCTGACTTGACCCATACCCTGAAAAGCTTAGAGTGCATGAGAATAAAGGAAATGATTACCTACCTTAAAGAAGCATTGATCTTCAAATGAATTCTCTTTTTCAGTACCAAAAGAAACATACAAAGAATAGTATGGAGAATATAGATAATGATGTTTGGGTGTCAAGGGTTAAACACCTCCATATTCAATGATATAACACTTGCACTCCACTGGAAATTGGTTGCTTGGGGGAAGTTGAAACTTTCAATTGATTGTTGCATAATATAATGGAAAGATGATGATGATGATGATGGTACTTATGATGCAAACTTACAAAATGAATGTTATATGATGATCAAATAAAGTCTTTACTTATTATAACTTTGTGTAATTTGCTTTGAACTTTGAGAAAAGAAAATAACAAATATGTCATAGATCCTCTCAGTCAATGAACAACATATTGTAATCATAGAGGAGTCATGACTGGCCAAATATCCTTTAAAGTGGTCATGCAGTGTATATATCGTTCTCCACATCTGCTTACATTCTTGAAACTGGTGGAATAGAAAATGTTTTAACAGTGACTGAAGCCAAAGTTGAACCTAGCTCACCTTGTAAAGTGTCCTTGTCAAAATCTGGAGCATTTTCTTTGTCAGGTAAGTCTTCATTTTCAGATGGAACCTTAATTGGACTTCTTTCTTTAGCCATAGCAACTGTAAGGGGATGCTTCTTACAAAAAGTTGCTGTTTTAAGTCATCCTGGCCTGATAAAAAGATGGTTGCAAATGGTAAAAAAATTAGCTCAACATATTACCCAATTGTAAACTAAATATTTTTTCCCCTCTGAGAATGGGAGGGATATATAGACACAAAATCACGAGCAATTAATATGAATAGCATATTTAAAGCAGTAAAAGAACAAAAGATATATATACTGAAGAAAACAAGCATTGATATTTAAATAAACAGTAATTCTCTTCTCATTACAATAAATTTCAAGATTTACTAAAGACATTCCCAATTAACTGAAATAACTTGGGCAAAAATCAACATCTGTATGTTTCAAGTTCATATTGTTTGTAACAGCAACAATTTAAATCATTTAAACTAAGAGGTGGTAGGTAGTAATAGGTCATGTCTGGATATGAACAGTGGTCCATCCAGTACCTGAGCTTTAATTAATCCTGGCTTCCTCACATGAAGTAACTGAGAGTATTATTACCCAGCCCTGGACAGGATGCAAGTCCATTCCACTGTTATTCCCCCCCCCCTTCACCCCCCTAGCATTTTATCAGGTTTCCCTAGCTAATTTTTGCTACCCATTTATACATGTACTCCTGGCTGGAGACAGACACTGTAAGAGTAAAGTGTTTTGGACAAGAACACAACACATTGACTAGAACCCAGACCTCTTGACCCTGAGTCCAGCACAGGCCAGGTTACAAATGCAGACCTCCTGACCCTGAGTCCACCTCACTTAAATTATAAGACCACCATGTCTCCACAAGAGGAGAGAGTTTATGCTGAATTCTTTCTCATAAGAAACAAATTTTACAACACGAAAGAAAAATTATCTCATCTGATTTTTAAATAGGGATTACTGGTCAAAACTTATGAAAGATATATTTCTTGAATTCAATTTCTTACTGTTGAGCTGACACCCATATTTGTATAGGTGAGGGTTAGTTCAACTGTTACACTTATTGCTGGAAAAGCAGTGAAATATATACATTTATGCGTGCTGATGTGCGTTGAAATGGATTTCAATTTGGTACAGGTGAAGACATTTGTGGTTTACTGATATCTGTACATTTCACTGATTTTTTTTGTATTCATTTTATGTTTACATTGTTTTGTGCACAAAATTGATTTGTCTTTGATGCTAACTTTAATTCTTCTAATAATCAAGATGGCTTGTTTTTTAAATATCAAATAATTTTTACTGGCTGTCTTCATGTACAAATAAATTCAATAAAAACTAGAGTAACACGGAAATCAATTGTACTGGAATTTAAAATAGCCAGTATATACAGTGTAGATTATTTTTACAAAAGCCAGTTACTACCCTCTAACTAACCAGTTAAGCACAAGGGCTTTAATTTACTGGGGAATATTGGCCCAAGGTTGTGGCAGTATAGAAATGGCATAGTACCAATATTCCCCAGTACAGCTCAAGAAAGCAAGGTAATTGTCATGCACTAATGTCACTTGGACTAAACTAGTTTGCTTTGAATTTACATGTTTTATGATTGTCTGTATGGTGCGATGATGATCTAGGTGGCAAAGTCCTGACCAAGTAAGAACCAATCAGAACTTTTTAATTTACCTACCTTGCCATAGGATAACATAAATTATCACCAGACACATAGTTGGATGCGTGCTGCCACAGGAAGAACTAAACCAGTTTTGATGTGATCATTGATTGATCATGTATTGATTAGAAGATGACAAAAGGTGAAACTTTACTCAGATACCAATCAATCATTACCAGTTGATGAATTGGACTCCTAAAACTTGAATGTAATTAATTGAAAGGACGCTTCCAATAAATCACTCGCCGGCATTTGAGGAAAAATCAATTTGTCTCAATATTTAACAAGGAAATCAGTGTAACAGTACAGTTTGGAAGGACAATCTAAGCAGTCTGTCCTAAAGAAAAAAATTACTTTCAAACTATAAAATTATAAACATAAACACATGAAATACGCTAAAAGTGTTTATCGCTTTTTAATTAAATGCATCTTAAATAAGGAAGGAATTTGAGTTAACACGTAATCCAGACATGAAAGCTAGCGCACAACACTTTCGCGCGCATGCTCTACATGCACATTAAACGAAAACGAAACTGAAAGTGTTTCGATCATCCGCACTTGCACTAAATCAAATCGGTAATTTGGAGATTCCTTTTAACTCTCTCAAATTAATTTTTTTAGATGTAAATACCAGGTATTGGCTGAGAATTTTTGTGAATTCGACAGTTGTAACATGTTCGTGTAAGCTCAGCTCAATTAGCTTACAAGTAACACTAAGTGTCAATACAATTAATACACGCCAGAATCGAATAAAAGTTGGCAATCCTCGTCATTTAACTGCAGGAACGTCTTACATTGCCGGACATCAGGGAAAACTAGGACAGATTGAGAACATTTGAAGGAGAAATTGTTAACTGAGAAACTCCAAATAAAAGTATTTACCTTATATTCACAAATCTGATTCAACCATGCGTTCTTACTTCTGTCGCGGAAATGGAAGGCACGTTTGACTGATTTACGACCTTGATTCCTCAATCCGTCATAGAAATGTTTCAAAGTAAGTCACCAAGACTGAGAAAGTACCAAGAAAGACTCGAAAGCTCTGTTGTAGAGCAAAGAATCTCGATGGCGAGTTGCGAAAATGAAAGGGGAATCCCCTGACCCATAACTCTGTGCAAGCTTGAGGCCGGAAGTGCCTACTCAACGTGTTTATTTACATAAAAATTAAATATTTCTCGCACGCTTCTCGCATCTTTTAAGGTCCACTACAATATTTCATCTCACTTTCACAAGTTCTCATTAGCACTCTTAAGAGCTAATGTCACCATACATCAAACAAACAGCGGCAAGTCACCCAAATTTGTTTTCACTCCTACTTTCATATTTTGTAGCCCAATATGTTCTAATAATTGTGGTGTAGTTTTTTTGTAAAAATTGTTTTAGCTTTCGAGAATTAATTTCTTTCGTTCGACCGCTCAACGTTGCGTGACAAGCGCGCATGGCGCACCATGTATATTTCACAGACGCTATCAAGTAAATTTTGCCGGACTTTGAGTTCGTCTCAAGATAGAACAACACAGATACACAAGGAAATTTTTACAGTAACTTTATAACCATCCTTTGGTCTTTTAAAAGCTTGAAGCTCAGTAGATTCTGTCATATCGGTCATTGTTAAAACTGTCTTTGTTTTGATGTTACTTTTCGACATAGGAAAAGTATGTCGGACAAAAATATTCACCAAAAAATAAATATTTCTTTGCTAGCTTCAATAACGACAGTGGATTAAGTTTAGATGATAAAACAAAGGATTCTGTTCACAGAAATACCGTAGGTCTAGTACAATCGTCACATGAGGTCACACAACTCGGGTAATATTCACGGTGAAAATTTGCATGTTTGAGCAGTCGAGCGAAAAAAGTCATTTCTCGAAAACTAAAATATATTTTCACAAAAAAACTACACCACAATTATTAGAACATATTGGGCTACAAAATATGAAAGTAGGAGAGAAAACGAATGTTGGGCGACTTGCCACAATATTTCAAATTTGTGCGATGGATGCTGACATCCTCTCTTAAAACTTTTTAATATTAGAAACAGATTCCTCTCGGAGTATATTCATATAAATTTTGCTGCAGCGTGAACATAAACTGTTATTTATCTTTTTCTCATTTTGTGATTGCATACTTTAAAGGACTTAAGAGCCCGAAGGGTAAGTGGCACCGCACTGGTTCAGGGGATACGTATCCATTTTTTTTTTGTGAAAGGTTTTTTAGGGTAAGTGTAACTGCCACTGGCGATCTATATTAACTAATTCTAACAATTTTAAACGCGAACGGTACACGGTACGGTTAAAACTGCAAATAAAACAGCGAACGAAAACTATTACAATATAAACTAGACTAAATACACAAGGAAAGTTACAACAAGAAAAACGAAAGAAAACTACATGATACAAAACTTACATTTGTTGCGATGTTAAAGATCCTGCCTAGTGGCGAACAAACAGCATGAAGCGAATAGAACAAATATACCAAACCACAGTTGACGAAACTACACTGCCAAACTGCCCCAAACTACGATGAACAATACGGTTAAATACGCGCTACATTACGCAACGTTACACAATGACACAAAGAAAGCGCACACAAAATTTTACTACAATTAGCACTCTTGCACAAGAACAATAAACGAAAAAGAATGTAAGCCGTTGCGATCTATAGTAAGTAACTAAAGAAATAATAAAAAACAACCAATAGGCAAATGACAGGACTATAAATTTATTTCGTTCAGACGTGAAAAGAAGTCTGCAAATGAGCAGTGTCATGGATCGTAATAGTTTCGCTTTACATCGTAAAGTGATTGGAAAAGAGTTTTGCTCCATCTGTCAATTACATCGTAAAGTGATTGGAAAAGAGTTTTGCTCCATCTGTCAATTACTCCGAAGCAAATTAAAGCCAGTTGCCACTTTACAAATAAATAAACAAAATGATTTTCCTTAATTTTTCTCTCTAAATAATCTGCTGGTTAAACTTTGTTCACTATTGCAAATAGAGAATGTTGAATTCAGGTTGTATTGAAAAAAGCAAAACCCTAAAAATTGTGCGCATAAGAATACTCCATCTGAATCTTGTGCCATTATGCCAGACGAAAACTTTTATGTGGTGCTATATATTATGGAATCATCCATATGTGCAATCATATAAATGCAAATGAACAGAACTTCCATATGGTACTGTTTGCAGTGAGGTGAGAAGGGATTCCTACCTTTACGCCCGTGAATAAGACCCATTCTTTGAAAGGTGCTGACCATTTAAATGAAAGCTAGAGCGGAATACGTTACTGAGGTACAGTTTACATGCGGTACAAGGTGGTTCTGGCTTGGATAACATCCTGTATGACTGTTCGAATGAAAGCTATTCAGCAGTACTTCCATGTGCACTGTTTATCAAGCACCACGAAGTAGTTTTAAAGTCTGTGGATAAAACGCTAGGTTTTTACCATTCAAATGAAAGCCACCGCGAAGTGTTTTATGTGTTTCACTTCATTATATTCTTTAAGGTGGTTTTAACCACAAACTTTTGAGTTTAGCGAACCGTACAGTGATATACAGCCCGCTAAATTGACCAATCATAGACCACGCACTAACCAAGCATTAAGGTTTAGCTCTTACGTTTGTGGACGAAACAGCTACGCGTTTCAATTTTTTCTAGGAAATATTTTATTAATACATTCAAAATTGTTTCCCAAATTTGTGCAAAATGAAAGTTGTCTCATTTCTCCCTTTTTATCCACTTTTTCTTTGAGAAACGACTGAGCTCTCATCTTCATTTCCACAAACTTTAAGGAGAGGTTGCGTTTAAATCTAACCCAGCCAATACCACTGTAAGCTTTGTGTTCACCATGAACTGGCGGTTCAAGTTTGAGCAGTAACAACCGTTAAACCACCATTCCCCAGTCGGGTCACTTGGGAAGCTTTTTGGTGAAGGGGCGAATTCTTGTCGATGGGGGCGAACTGGAAGGCGGCGAACATCCAATGGAGCGACACCTCTGTAAATCACACCGTCAACCCAACAGTATCTAGTTATCGTGAAATAGTAACCGCGCTCTTACGAGGTCTGCCGACAACAGAAAGAGTTAAGGCTTCCACTTTCAAGGAAGTCATCACTATGCTTTTATAGCAAGCTTTCCGAATTTTTATCGGGGTGGGGGGGGGGGGGACAGGACAAGTCTTCTTAAGAATAGAAAACACGACGAAAAGTTTTTTCTCTCCCCCCTCATCTTAGATTTTTCTTTTTATGATTTTTTATTAAAATAAACAGCTATTGTCTTTTCCTGCTAATCCCTCGTTTCTAATAACGATGCCGTTTTCGTTAATTTGGATACCGCACATGAAGATTTGACGAATACCTTAAATGATATAAGTGCATGCAATTATTCAAATAAACGCAAATGGCATTGTCAGTAGAATGAAAAGAAAATACAACAGCTGTCAACTTTGAATTCATACGTCGAGCGTGTTACAAAACCAGTACGAGTAAGGGAAATATTTCACGGTCTCTTCACTGCACTCAAATTACATTGCCTCGATGTTTTATCTAGAGAAATTTCGAATACATTCTATCCTGTGATTTTCTGGATAAAAAGATCTATCTTCGAGTTAGTGTCCACAAAATTTAATATTAAAAAGTACTCTTAATTCGCTAAGCTGCACCGTGTCATTTATGGGAGGAGCTAGGAGTATATTAAAAACTTAGATTGATTGACGATTGACTTTTGTCAGTGTAACATATGACTTTGCGGCCTTGTTGGATAGTACATGGTCGAGCTGATGCCAGTGTTTTGAACGAAGGTGTTGTCATGTGTTCTTTAACCTGTCTTTCAGTTGGAACATTGTGCCCATGATACTTAGCTGGAATCTGGTGCAAAATTGCAAGAGTATGAGACCGTTGGAATTCATCTTTCCAACACCATGCTTCCCGATGACGTTCGGCCATGATTTCCAGTCCGAACCCACACGAGCGTTAAAATCACCTAAAATGATAACGCTGTCCATTTCGGCAGCTGATACACAGCTACCGAGCATTTCATAGAACTGTTCCTTTTCTTCCTGCAGTCTTTACATGGTTGGTGCATAAACGCTGATGAGTGTTAGATTGTCGCCACCCTTAAACTGTATGCGCATTGACATGAGTCTGTCGCTGATTGGTGTAGCACTAATACCTTGAGCAGCTAGCCAGATAGCAAAACCAACGGCCGCTGTTCTCTCTTCTCCTCCACTCCAGAAAATTGTATGACTCCTCTCGACTATGTTTCCCATGCCAGGTCGTCGAACTTCACTCAGAGCATAGATGTCGATGCTCGCTTTCTCTAATTGACGACAGATGAGGGCAGTTGCTTGTTCCGGTCTTATTGAAGAGTCACTGTCGTTGGTCGTACAAACATTCCAAGCTCCTAGGTTAAGACGTTGTTTGTTTCAGGCATTGGAATAAGAGGGTAGATGGTGTCGTTCGTCGGCTTCCCCGGACGTGGTAGCAGTATACGGACTTCGTCCACTTGTCGCCACCACCGTATCGAGCGGCGCATCGGTTCCCCCGTATGCCGTAGCCATATCTTCAGTCCTGGTCTGTACTTCCATTAAAACTGTGGGGCTGCACCTATGATGCACCTTGGCGCATGGGCAGCGTCCCTTGGCGAGGAACCCTGTTGATCGACAACACAGCAAAGCTTGACTATCAGGACCGCCTTGCATGATGGCCGATGGCTCACATGGAGCTCATCCGCCGTTTAGCAGGTGTTGTTTTTAGTCCTGCAAGGGTGACATGCCACCCTCCTCACCAGAAAACAGCTGGTGAAGGGAGCCAGCTTAGACGCTGACCACCCGTCCAAGCGGTAGCTTGTACTGGGTTACATGGTACCAGTAGCAGACACGATGTCTGACCTAACCTAAAATGTATATGTATATAAATATAAATCTTGATTATGGTCTTTGCTTGCGGTATAGTGCTCGATGCTTTCTCACAGCGTGGTGTATCTAAAAGTTGAACCAATCAATAAGACATAACTTTTCTGTGACTCTGAGTTTCATGCTTACGCGATCGTCAGACAGATTTTAATG